GGAGAAACATATTGCAACTGTCAAATATAAAATAAAATTAAAAAATAAAAATATATATATGTTACAACTAAACCTACCACGATTAATTATAGGAGATCTCCTTACAGGCCTTCTCACAAACAAATGGATGTAGTCATCTCTCATGTATCCCTTTTTCACACAAGACCTAAGACAATTATTAAGGAGAGGAGTAATCAGATTCACATAGAGCTAGGTTAACAACAAACAATAATTGCAAGTCACCTGCAGGTCCAGATTATTTTCTTCTAGATACAAAATTAAAGTCTATGCATTCATACAGCACAAAATAGTAAATGTTCTTTAGGCAAAAAATATATACAGTATAAGTTAGTATGGTTCACCAGTAAGTCTTCCTAAATCTCCATGATAATAAATTAAAATACTCAACTAACGACTGAAGCCCTCTTTAGAGGAATTGGGGTATAATGATGAAAAAATGTGAAGATTGAAGGCAACATAGTATTTCTAAAGAACTTGTGGCGGACAACTTACAATAAGTATTATCTTAACCTTATCTTAAAGACTTGATAACATACAGTTAAAATCTACACATAAACATATGAAGTTAGTTACTCTTTTAGCTGTTGAAAGTTGTCGTTACCTTCAACTCTTCTAGGACAATCAAATTTTGAAAATTACAACAAGGGCATCATGATCTCATTGTTTCTGCAAGCCTTCAAAACCTAAAAAACAGATAGTCTATAACATCTTCCTTTTGCATGTCATCTCAATCCTCATCAGTTGAAATACTCACAGTTCTGTCTTCTTTTTTTTCTTCCCCACCCCATCCTAACGTTAATAATACAATTAATTTACAAGCAAATTAAATCTGAAAAGATTTCCTCCGTTCCTTTCTTCCATTCTACTCACTGCAGCCAGTCAAACAGCAACCTCTTGTTCACACAATTAGCAAATATTAGCCTCACAGCTCTCAATTACCACGCATAGCTTAATTTCTATAATCTCAAGTTCTGTCAAATAAGAGACCTTGCTAGTAAGTAGCCCTCATCACTAATTCACTATTGCAACCACCTGAGTGAATTACTCTTATCATTTTGATAACGTGCCAACTAACTTCATTCATGTACAGGCCCTTGATTAAACAATTCCCATTTTACACACTGCTGGCCCCAAACTCATGCATGATGCATTGCCTCCTCGTTAAAGTGAATGATGCAACGCCTGCAAGGGCTGAATCTCCAAACAATGGATCACATATTCTCGGGACTAATAATGCCTCCTTTATGACTAGCAACCCCATGTTAAAAAATCAGTAAAGCTTACCTCCCCCGTCCTCACCTCACCACCCCACCTCACCCCCAACAACACCCCAACCCCCCCCCCCCTCCATCAAAAAACCAAGCCACAACAAGGCCATTATCTAAACCTAAATTTCTTATCATCAGTGTCAAAACATCAAACACGATACCCGTGAATTTCCGTAGCAATAGAGTTGGGTTCTTAAATTGCAGTCCCCCATTTCAATTACTCTAAACATTTTGATAGCATGCCAATTAACTTCATTCATGTACAGGCCCTTGATTAAACACTTCCCATTTTACACACTGCTGGACCCAAACTCATGCATGATGCATTGCCTCCTCGTTAAAGTGAACGCTGCAACGCCTGCAAGGGCTGAATCTCCAAACAATGGATCACACATTCTCGGGACTAATAACGCCTCCTTTATAACTGGCAACCCCGTGTAAAGAAATCAGTAAAGCTTCACCACCCCCCTCCCCGCCGCCCCTCCCCATCTCACCCCCAACAACCCCCCTCCCCAACTCACCCCAAACAACCCCCCCTCCCCGCCGCCCCTCCCCACCTCACCCCCAACAACACAAAACCAAGCCACAACAAGGCCATTATCTCTAAACCCAAATTTCTTATCATTAGTGTCAATACATCAAACACAATACCCGTGAATTTTCGAAGCAATAGAATTGGGTTCTTAAATTTCAGTCCCCCATTTCAATTCTTACAGTTTCAACTATCTAAATTAGGAGTAAATTGCAAAATAAAGGCCAAGGTGGAGAAACATAAAAATAAAATCGATTCAACACATACGAAAAAATTAATCGATCATCCAAAACACATTCGAAATAACATAACTAAAACCGGGTCAATTATAAACAGCAAAAAAATCCCAAAAAATTCAATCTTGCATCATGTACAAAAATATGCATAAATATTGCTGAAATAAATAATTAAAAAAATTAAAAAGGGGATACAAAGAGATATCGCTCACAATTTGCTAGCAGAAGCGTCGTCATTGGTGGCTTGAACAGCAGCAGTGTTGCTGCTTACATCAGCTGATTTTGTCGCCATTTTCGTCCTTTCTCAAACACTCAGATTGATTGAATCAAATTATGAATGACAACAGTTCGTGGAAAAAATAGGCGCTACGCAATTGCTAGCTTGTTACTATATCTGTTTTTTTTATAGTCTAATGTTTAGAAAATTTGTCATTTTGTCAAAATTCTTACCAATCTTAGTCATTTATTAATTATGTTTTTTTATGTAGTAAAATTATATTTAATTGAGATAAATTAATTCGTGTCTTATTAACTAAAAAATGTTTATATCATTACTTAAACTCGAAACCAACAAGTCTTACTATCTAAATAGTCGAATTTGATTAACAAATTAAACAAGTACAAACTAGCAACCCGGACAATCTTAAAGTTGTTTTATAAGAGAAGAGTAATACGAAAACCTTGTTTGGTTGAACAAAAAAATTGGGGGAATTGAAAAATCATGGAAATTTAAAAATTGGGGTTTTGTTTGGTTGGCTAGTGAAATATGTAGGAATTGCACATTCATGGGAATTTCCAATTCCTAAAAAATGTGGGAATTAAATTAGGCCTTGTTTGGTTGGCTAAATATTTTGTGGCCTTGTGGGAAGTCAAAATTCCCATGAATTTCATTTTCACTATCTTGTTTGGTTGACACAAAAAAGTGAAAATGGGGGCAATGTAAATTCATGGGAATTTTGAATTCCCACAAAACATGGGAATTCAGGAGAGTGAGGGATAGCTCAAGTGGTTAGAATCTCACTCCCGGCTTCAGGAGATCTTAGGATCGATTCTCACCCCCGCCCATGTGGCTATCTAAACACCAAAAAAAAAAACATGGGAATTCACTTACCTTACCCCCCTTGGTAAGTTGTACTTCCTCCATTCTTAACCAAACAAATTTGTTAAATTCCCATGATTTTGATGATGGATTTTATTTCCCACAAATTGAAATTTCATGGGAATTTACACTTCCCTAATGAACCAAACAACCCCTTACCAAGGGTCCTCCCGGGTAACTCAAAATTCTCATGAATTGCAATTTCCTTTATAACAACCAAACAAATTTGTGCAATTCCTAGGAAATTGAATGTGGAATTTAATTCTAATGAAATGCAATTGCCTATGGAAAATGAGTTCCCATGTCAATCAAACAACACTGAAGTATTAAAGAATATGTAGAATAACAACTTAAAGAGCTACGAAGTGTTATTTTACTTCTTATGATTTTGGTATTGTCATATAGGTGAATTTGCATGGTATTTGTAATAGCGCAAATTAATATTTTCTCCCTTTCTTTTTAGTTGACAAATTTCTTTAGTCACGTTTGTCAATGCACAAATTTAACCATTAACATCTTTAATTTCGGATAAGTAAAATTATAAAAATTTAATATTTAGAAAATATATATATCGTGACGATTCTAACAAGATCTCACATTACTATATTTTTTACATATAAATCACAAAACACGATCAAAGAAAAGTGTGTAAATAGTACTAAAGTCAAAACGTGTCAACTAATAAAAAACGGAAGTAGTATTGCATTTTGGGTTACACCCTTAGGCCATATAAGTGATAAGAAGGGTGGTTAAACATTAATATCAATCTTTTGTGCTCCCGAATGTACCTTCCTCTCGATACACTCAGGGGCGTATTTGTAATTTTATTATTAGTTTGTTTGGCTGAACTTTCTTCCTCTTTCGTCCTCGTTCAAATCAAACTTCCAAACTCACTCGCCAAATCAACTTCCTCATATCATGCCAAATCAAACCAGTCTTTGCGAGAATCAAACCAAATCAAATTATTCCTCATCTCATGCCAAATCAAATTCCTGATTACTGATGGAATTCCTACAACATCACCGACGACTAAGGTATTAGGAGTGAATGTAAAGAATACTTACATGTATACCTTAAGTTATCCCCCACTCTCAAGCGAACAAGCCATCAATGTTCCGATATTAAACATTGAATATTACTACGTAAATCAATAAGTTGATTAGTAACATGCTACTTCATTTGTCCCCAAATTATTGTTGACTTAGGACCTGTTCACTTCAGCTTAATTGCAGTTCAATTCAGCTCTATTCAGTTCAGTTCAGTTCAACTCCTAATTTCCTTCTCTTATAAAATATTCATTTAAACTCTATTCAGTTTAGTTCAGCTCCAACCAGTTCAGTTTCAGGTTAAGCTCCAATTAGTTCAGTTCAGTTAAATAAATGTGAACAGACCCTTAGTATATTGCATTTTTAGGGTCAAAATTTTACAAATTATTGAACCACAAGTAAAGTCATAATCTTGTCAAATTCATTTTTAAGCATATTTTTTCAAAACGCTCTCTCTCTCTCTTTTTTTAATGCATCACTCTGACTCTTACACTATTCACATTTTATGGTTGACTTAAATTTTTAACCTCTATAAAATAAATAAATAAATATTATTATTATATAACGTATTATTAGATTAGTCACAATGTCTAATTTTATAATAAAATTTTGCTACATTTTTTGAGTACTAGTCAATTAAAAATATATAACTTTGACTCTTACACTATTAATTAGTCAAAGTTGTATATTGGCAAATATATTGATTAAATAGAGAGAGTATCAAACATGGATTTTGGCGATAGTTAATTTTTTAGGGATGAAGGGAAAGGTGGAGGAGACCAATATAAAAAGAAAATTCTAGAACACTTATTCGAACTTCTAAACCCAAAAAATAAAAAATCATACAAAAACTTTTTTTTTTCCCCTCTCTCACCACCTTAATCTCATCATCAATTTCTGAAACCCTAGATTATTATCACTTGTAATCATCACAATTCAATTGCAGAAAACTCCCAATTTCTTAAATTTCATCAACAATGGATATCGAGCAGAGACAAGCAGAATTAATCGAACACTTCGTAAAGCAAGCGTCGGCAAATAAGGGTTCTTCCCTCGTTCCAATCATCGTCGAAGCTACTTCCAACCCTTTGCTCTTCGCATTCTCCGAAATTCTTGCTGTTCCCAATGTCGCCGAGGTTTTTCTCTCTCTTCAATTTGATTGATTTTTAGGTTTTTGTTGATTTTATTCATATAATTAGGGTTTTTTTAGCGGATTTCTATGTATGATTTGGGTTTGATTTTGTAGTTAGGTTTTTTTAGGGTTATGGAATTTGAATAAGTATGTATTTTTGTGTGAAAATGTATTGATTAGTAGAATTTGATAATCGTTCGAAATAGTATACTGGTGTAATTCAGTAATTCCTAATTAATATGTGAGTGGCTGGTGAAGAACACAAGGATGATGGTTTGATTGTGGATTTAATGGGGGTGGTAAGGTACCTAAGTTCTATGAATTTGAGCAAGTGGAATTTGATGAGAACAATAGTCTATTACTGTTCTACTTAATTCGACTTGTCGAGCATAATGCTGCTGGCATTCTATATGACCAAGTGCTTAAGTTGGTGAAGTAAGCAGTGTTGAGTGATGAATTGGTATTACAAATGAAAAAAATTTAAATTTAGCTGCATTGTAAAATAGTAAAATAGCTCGAGATACAGATCATGTTGTAGTAATTAAGTTGAATTATCAAATACTGGTTACTAAACTAGTAAACTGTCATGGCAATGATTAAGGAATAAGGTTGGGGCAAAGATTTAAAGATTAAGCTCGTCGTCGTGTAACTTTTGTCAGTAGCATCTTTTAATTATTTGAGAATTTTTCATTTTTTTTTTCCTTATTGTTTGATCTAAACTATTTACATTCCCTTTGTATGTTTGTTTGTGTTTTCTGTCTTATTGTTATCCTTGATGCAGCTCCAAGGAACCGAACACTCTGAGTACCTTAATCTTCTCCGTTTGTTTGCTCAAGGAACTTGGAGTGATTATAAAAGTAAGATTTTCTAGTCCTTTTGGTTTTATCTGTGGCATTTTGTGGTTTTGTGAATGATAGCCCCACTTCCCCTTCCAAATGTTATTTTGTAAAGAAGAGTCCAATACGTAGTAATGCTTTTAACATGATGTATAACACTGAGGTTTACTGGTGTTAATTGTGATATGGGTAAACTTTCCAGTGCTCTAATGCTCTTATTGGTTTATTTTTTCCCTTTCATTTTCATTGATTGATTGTCATTGATCTGATCGTTATCTGTAGAACTCTTAACCTTGGTCTTTATGATTGGGTGCATGAAATATTATGAATTTATAATGTGCAGGCAGTGCCGTATCTCTACCTCCGCTGGCTGCTGACCAAATACTCAAGTTAAAGCAACTCACTGTGCTTACATTGGCTGAGACAAGCAAGGTACTTCTGCCCCATTCATATATATATATATATATATATATATATATATATATATATATATATATATATATATATATATAGATATAGATATATATATATATATTTCCTTTTAAAGTCTTTGTCAATTTTCAGTGTCAAAGCCTAGTGTTTTGATATTATGTGCTGAATTTTATTACACGTGTCCTGTGCCAGTGTATTCCCTTACTAGAATTTTTACTGAATTTTTTATTTTTCTTTTTATTTTTTTAATGAGAAAAATGAGACTATTTTAGTAAAATGCACTCTTGGTGTTCCATGCTACTTTTGAAATTGGAGAATGTGGGAAATGGATATCTCACAATCTAATATTACTTGCTGATAAGCTTAGATGCTTCATGAGACGAGTATTATGAGAGACAATATAGGGTTTTGAACAAATGATATTTTTTTCTTTGAGTAATCAGACGGTTCCTTTCTTTATACAGTTAGGATGTCATTTTTTTTTCCCCTGTATATATTGTTAACGAGGACCTAGTTTGGTAAACATCAAACCACAATGATACTATGTCACGTCCAGTTTTCCCTTTCAACATGGGTAATTTGAACCACAATTGACATGCTGCAGTCGTCATGGGCTCATGGCCACCTTTGTCTATGATATTAATGTTCTGATACATTTTCATACGTTTCATCTACAAGTTGAGTCATCCAAACTTGTGAGGGTTCATATGGACAAGACCAGAGGTTCTTACACCTTATTTGTTTCGATGTGCTATAATAAGCTGTGGTTTAGTAAAATGGAACAACGTTTATAAATTCTTGTCCTTACTTGACTTAAGTTCTTGTAACTGGTGATGGCATGTAGCTTTTGAGTTTGGGAAACACAGAGAGTTGCTCTTTATTTATGTAAAATAAATTGGTTACTATGTATAAGATAATTCGATGAAAAACCTATCTGTTGTATTGTTGATAAACAGTGCATTATTGGTTTATGGCTCCATGCTTCATTCTCAATTTCGTTGCTGTTCTATTTTTGTCTGTGCTGTTTTCAGGTATTACCATATGATCATTTGATGGAGGAGCTAGATGTTACAAATGTGCGTGAACTGGAAGATTTTCTTATCAATGAGTGCATGTATTCGGTATGTATTCTGGTAACTTATATTTTCATCTCCAATTAAACTTATGGAGCTGATCAGCTGACTGATTCTCTTCTTTATTAGTAAATATGTCTATCTTGTTTCTTGTGTAAATATTCCTTTTTATTCAGGTCATGTTTCCTTTACTTTTCTTTCCCATGAGATGTCGTTAATATTTCTACGGCTCAGCTTTGGACTTCAGGCCTGCGTTCCATTTCAATCTTGTCTAATTTTGGTTTTCATGGTGTATTGTGATCATGTATGGTTTATATGGATGTCATGTTGAGTCTCTTTGTGAAGTTGTGGTTCGAGTTTCAATTGTCAGCATAATGCTGTAGCTCTGTTGCCTATTTACTGGCGAGCTCCTTATTTTTAACAATCACCCAAAAAGAGGCTGGACATGTTTGAGTTAAACACAGAAACGCGAAATCAAAGTAGGTAATAAAGTGGCTGGTCGAACCCAAAGCTAGCTGGTTCTCCTCGAAATGCCCCCAATTCCAACCAGGAATTCGTTTGGTTCGTTACGTGTTACTCACCATAAGTGCAAACCGTTTTATAATCAAATTATGATATGGCTTGGTCTTTTTTTTTTTTTTTTTTTTTTTTTTTTTTTTTTTTTTTGGTTAACAAATACAAAACATTGGCCTCTAATTCTGTAAAGAGGTTTATCTTAAATTTTTTTGCGAGGGGAAACTTTCATGTCCGGCTTTGAATGTGGGCCGGCTTAGTAATAGAAGCGACATTAGGGTTTAGTCAATGTGACGATTTTGGCAACTTTGCGAATGCAATAGACAGTGCTCCTTTTGAATTTCAGCCCTGACTTCTGGGTTGTGGTCTATCAACTTCTATGCCCTGAGCTACAGATATTAATATTTCTTTAGCATTTCCAAACAAAATAAGTGATTCTTTTAACGTGACTAGCTTTATACTTTCATCAAACTATTATCCTCTTTCTCGCTCCAGCCCCTAGACAGTAGACACTTTCAGTTTCAAGCCTGCAACATTATGTTATAATTTAAATTTGAAATCATCTGAATCAAACCAGTTTTATATGTACCTATCACTCTTTTAAGACTCAATTATGTCGTGCTATGGTGTTATGTCACAGGATGGAAGTGTTTTTTCAATGTACACGTGTTCTTGACCCCTAAATATTTGAGTGATCTTGGGAAGGTCCTAAGTATTAGGATGTGGTTATGTACGGAGTGTAAACTGACATTTACTGTTGGTTGACAGGGCATTGTTAGGGGAAAGCTGGATCAATACCGAAGATGTTTTGAGGTGCTATGATTGCACTTTTTACCCCACCTCGTGATGAATGTTTAAGCCTGTTGAAGTTTGATACAGTTGTCATTTGGATGCAGGTAGTGTTTGCTGCTGGAAGGGATCTTAGACCAGGGCAATTGGGCAGTATGATACAGACATTGACTAACTGGTATTTTCGACTTTTGCATAAATCCTTTTTTCTTTGAAAGTGGATAATGTGCCAACAATGATTATCTTTGTACTGGATTTGTAAATTATGTGATCTGATGGGATGTCATTCTGAGTTTCTGACTGATTTTTTCTCCTAATATTTGTGGATTCTTCATTCTACTTCTTTCCCCACATTTGTGCTGTAATTAAGTTATTGGTTTCTCTTCTCATCTGATATCATTAGCTGATCTGAGAGGAGATCTTGTGGACAAATACTCTGTTAGGTCACATCCTAACATGTTTAAGACTCTTACATTGGCCCGAGTTTTATAACTTGTCACTTTTAAGTTATAAGAATACGATTTGATTTGATTTTATTTTTTATTTTATTTTTTTAAATATATATACTTCCTCCGTTTTTTTATTATTGCACCATAGGGGTTGGGTACAAATATTTTGGTAGTGGAGAAAAGTAAGAGAGAGAAAGGTAAAAATACAAAATTGCCCATGTGACATATTAATAAATTAAAAAGTAAATGTGAAAAAGCAAGGGTTTGTTTGGTATTTATAGTGTGAACACAAATAATTTTTTCCCTAAAGAGGAAATGGTGCTATATTTGTGAAATTTCCTAAAACGGCAAATGGTGCAATAATAAAAGAATGGAGGAAGTATATATATATGATTTCCTTAGACTGTATCCAAGGAATGCAATGTTTTTTTCCCCTCTAAGAAGTAAGAACTGGAGTCCGGTGAACGTTCCATGAATCATTGTTTGACCCTTCCTATCTAGACCACCTAGCAGCTGGGAATTTGTAGCAGTTTTTGTTTCCTTTTTTTGTTTTAATGTTGGGTGTTGGGTGCATATCAAGCTTTCTGAGTAATCAAATTTGCTTTGTCACGTTTATTGGTTATTTCTATAGAATTCTTTTGTATTGCCAGCCATTGCAAATCCTATATAATGGTTTATATTTTTGTGTGTACATGTTAAAGGCTGGCAACTTCAGACAACTTACTTTTGACAATTCAAGAGAAGATTAAATGGGCTGATACCATGAGCGAGGTGGACGAGAAACATAAAAAAGAAGTTGAAGAGAGAGTGGAGGAAGTAAAGAAGACCGTTTCCATGAAGGTGTGAAATTCATTTTTTCTGCTTTTGCTAGTAATTATCTCCTGCAAAACATGCCTACTTGTCATCTAGCAATGTGTATTTCGTGTAATTAGCGTTCGCTTTTGGTGCTTGCACTGTAGCAGTTCCACTGACCTGGTTGCATAGTAGTATTGGGAAATCTGGTATAGTTTCAATTTACATGCTACTCCCTTTGGTATTTTTTTTAGTGCTATAGTTCAAATGCGTGTTTGTCAACACAATTTTGATCTTTAATATCTACGACTCTACGAGTATTGTTTTGTTGGTAAAAATTATTAAATAAATTGATAATATGAATATATACATTGTGAGTTTGTGACTAATCCAACAACATTTTATACGATAATTATAATTATTAAATAGTACATTCTTTAAATGGAAAGGTTCTAGAACAGGCAAAACATTTTGGGCACCCCTAAAAGGAATACCGACACAGTAATTAAGGGATGGAGGAGTAATATATTTGCTTAAAATTCACAGATACTTTCAAATGACAATTGACCCTAACTCCTTTTGGGATTAAGGTTTTTGTATTTGTTAAATAGTAAGTTGAAATTTAGCATTAGTAAGAGAAGTCAAACTGTAGCACTTAACATAAAAAAAGAGGGGAGTATTCGCTTGTGCTGAATGTTTTTACACAACATTATAATGTCGATTGTCTTGCAAGATGCTGTAATTTGCATTCAGCTGAAATGGTTTTCTTGTGTGTGATTCTGACAAATCGTTTTTATCATGATTTGGATTCAATGAATTGGTGGCAGTTATTTGCAACAACTATAATTTTTTGTATTCATTTAGCACGTAATGGTATTTAGGTTTAGAGAGCGCATTTATTTTCTTGCTTTTGTCATGGAATATGTTCGTCGATGGTCTTACTTACATTGTGGCAGAAGCTACACACTGTAAGCAGGCCGACTTGGACTTCCGAGGGCACGAGGAGATCTACGCTGAACCTGGCGGAGTGATGGACTTCGAGGAAGATAGAATCCGACCTAAGAGGTAGTTTGCCTGTAGTCAGCCTTACTATGCTGCACCATTTTATGTATTCACTATTAAGTAGTACTCAATATAGTGGATTTTTTCTCTTGACATATGTTTTGACTGCAGGAGGCGGCATCCACTACATTGAACAGTGGGAGATAGAGTGTTTATGAGGTGACTGCTGGTTTGGACAGTGGCAAACTGCACAGATTTCTGCTTTTGGAGATAATACACCTTTACTTTTGGACCATTGTCGCTGATCTTTGACCTTTTGCAAAGTTGGCAACTATACAAGCCCCCTGAATCCATGTTAATAATTTTCATTAGAGTAGGTGGTCTATTTTGGTGTTGAAGGGTTGTGTTTTTCATGGGTGGATCTTGGGATTGTAATAGTTACAATATATTTTCGAGGTTTAGTCAAGAGTCGTAGTTACTATAATGTTCTTAATTGATCTATGGCTATTACGTGAAAATTTTGGTGCTTTTATAGCAAGATGAAGTGAATTTGGTGCAGTAGATTTCATCGTCCATTGATATCTGTCTTCTGGTTTGCCTTTTTTGTCATTATGTATTCAACATACATGTTTCGTTTTGTGAAATCGGGATTTTTTTTGGTTTGGCTTGCAATTTGGCTCAATCTTGACTCTCAGGCAAAACAGTTAACCTCTTTGTCATAGACATGTTGCAAAATAAGCACACTCTGTCCTTGTCTAGCTTTCCCTATTTCTCACAATCTTTAACATGTCAATGACAAGCCACAATAGTGAGAGAAAAATCAAGACATCTCAAATTCTCAATACTCAAATAACGAAGTTTGTTAAGAATTACTCAATAGTTGTTGAAAAATTACCCAGTTATTGACATATCCTAAGAATTGTCTTTGGTTTTTTTTTTTTTTTTTTTTTTTTTTTTTTTTTTTTTTTTTTTTTTTTCTCTCGACGGGTAAGAATTGTCTTTGTTAACATCATACAAGTACTCAAGAATTATTCCTGATTTTCAAGCTTTCAAATTCTAAAAGTTGAAGAATTATTTAAAAAATTGGTCAAAATTTTGTTGATCTTCAATGATGTTTTCTATTTTTTTTTTTTCTTTTTTTCTGAAAGCATGATGTTTTCTATTCTAAGTAGGATGGTAATGGATCTGGACCCGACCCGGATCCGTGGATCTAGATCCGTTTTTCACGGATCTAGGTCTTCAAATTTTGGACCCGACGGATCCGGGTCTTGCTGACAAAAACAGATCTGGATCTGGGTCTGGGCCCTAGACCCGGATCTAGATCCGTGGACCTGTTTTTTTTTTTATTTTTTATTTTTCCTATTAAAAAAAATTAAAATTGTTTGTTTTTTTATTAAAAATGTTGATGATATTAGTAATGATAAAGATTAACCCTTTCAAGAGATGAATTTTGGATGCTCATATTATATACATCATCGTTGGTTTTTCACTAGCTCATATGCAACATCGTATTTTTTTTTTTTGTTTATAATTTTAATTCAAAATATGAGTGTATAAGTTGGTTAAGTTGGGGTTGAACTTAATAACCAACAACGTAAGTTTGAAATAAATTTTTTGACCCGAACATTACATTTATTGCAAAAAATTAGGCAACATATTGGACCCGTTTTGAATCCGGATTCGGGTCTTCATTTTCAAGACCCGACGGATCCGGGTCGGATCTGGATCCTATATACAAAAACGGATTTTGATCCGGGTCCATCCGAACCCGGTCCAGATCCGACCCGTTGCCATCCCTAATTCTAAGAAGCTAGTATCAAAATAACTCACTTTTCTAAATTCTAATTAAGATTCAAGCATTGCCAACATTGTCTACACAATCCAAACAAAACTTGAAATCCATTTAATTTTCGAAACCAAACTACATAAACAATACAATACTGTATTTTTCCTTTTGATTCCTTAGTACTTAAAAGGGCGCGTGTAAGACTATAACATACACCAAAAAAAAAATTCATCAAAATACGCACACAAAAAAAAAAAAATCAGTACACTGTGCATCCGGGTGTGTATCGGAGTTTAATACTTCGTAATCTTTACCATTTTCCGGGTCAAGAAAGGAGGATCCATTTTCTATAATAAAGTACTCCGTATTCCATACCATTTCAATAAACTCCAAAAGACACAGCTGAAAGCCTGAAACCCCCCTCCATTTTCGCTCTCTTCTTTCTGCTAACTGAGGCAATCATCAATGGCGGAAGAAGATGAAGTAACAATGGAAGTCGAAGCTGCTGAAGCTGTTTATGGCGACGACTGTATCGTCCTCAATCGATTTCTTCCTCATCTTCGTCTCCACATCAAACCTCGTACCGCCGACGTCGATTCTCAACAGGTCTCTCCTTTCTCTCTCCTCTTTCTATTCCCCATTCAATTATTCGCTATTTATTTATATTCTGGATTTAATTCTTAATTCGCTTCTTAATTTAGCTATTTTTCTACTTTTTTGATGTTTGAATTGTAATTATTGAACTTAATATCAGTACTAGTATTTGAATTAAACGTTATTCAGAACATAATAATTGTCAGACATTTTTGAACAGATTTTTATGTTAATTTCTTCGAAAATATGATCATTTACTATGATTGCAGCTTTTACATTTCAATTTCTGTTTCATAAGCTGAACAAACATAGTAGATTGTTGATATGAAATTATGTGATTTTGAAGAAATTACTAAAGCCCTAATGTTTAGGGCTTGAAGGAAATATAATTGTATTAGTAATGCATAACAAGATTACGACGAGAAAGACCTGTGATTCCCCCCCAATTTTGTACTGTTAAGTTTTCTTGGCCAGACCTTGTGTTTTACCTTCGGAACAATCAATGAGCGAATGGTAGGAATTTACGAGGATTTTGTTTAGTATAAATGCTTTTATCATTATATTGCCAGGCATTGTGTTTTATCTTCGGAACAATCAATGAGCGAATGGTAGGAATTTCCGAGGATTTTGTTTAGTATAAATGCTTTTATCATTATATTGCCAGACGTTGTGTTTTATCTTCGGAATTATCAATGAGCGAATGGTAGGAATTTTCGAGGATTTTGCTTATTTAAAATAAACACTTGATTTATCATCATACTTGTTTTAGTGGAGCTAAGGTTTTTGTGATTTTTAATGGAAATTGAGATGCCTATTTCAGCTGTTATTGAAAACTGGGTTTCCCTAAAGGTAAATTGAAACTAGTACGTACTAATCCTGAAACTTTGTTGTTTACTTGTTTGTTGTCTCGGATTGTAGCAACACCATGAGGCAAGTAGTAAACGAAAGACAAGATCAGCTTATTGTTCTTGAGTCTTCATAAAATTGAGGCCTAAGACCTATATTGTCATTTGACTCGTTTCTGTAGAAGTTTATTATAACTTGCTTGCCTTGACTTATGCAGTGTCAAAACTTAACAAAAGTGTTTTTTCACCTTTTCTGTAGTTTGTGGAAGCAACAATTGAGTTACGGGCTGGTATGCAGGTAAAGTTTTCTATATATATTTTTTTATGTAATTATCTCCTCTCTAGTTTTGGTGAGTCAAGGGAATGGGATAGCCTGACATATCAATGTGAAGAAATTTCATGTTTTTATAACCTGGTTTATTTCCAGTTTCCCCTGTTATATTTCGGAAGACATTTTAAGAGTTTCCTTGCTTGGTTTTGTACCTCTTTTCTGTCTAATATTCACCTTCAATTTGTCGCAGTATCCCAGTGATCCACCTTATGTTGATATTATAGGTTCTAAAGGACTTGATGAGAAAAGGCAAAAGCATCTGATTAATGGTTTACATGAGAAGGCTCATGAACTTGCGTCTTGCTTAATGCTTGTGGCGCTTTGCGAGGTTAGCTCATTCAATTTTCTTGTGAATATGTGATGCACAAAATAAAATATTCCCTTTTTGACTTGGGTATAGAGATTTTTTTTAAACAAGAAATAGCATATCATGTAGTTCTGAACTTGCCAACATTAAAGTGGTCAAGTTAGTTTTCTTCTTTTTCTTCTGCTTGAACACCTTAATGTCGTAAGTGGGGTCGGCTATATGAGCCAACATGACGACTTCCCAGGAGGTCACCCATCCTAGTACTACTCTCAATCATTGTGGCTCATGTCAAGCGATGTGACAAAGTTTTACACTGGTTGTCACTGTCCTATCGTGACCCTCCTTTATCCTGACTTGGGACTGACAGCGAGAAACCCACTGCAAGGAAACCAACATTGAAGTGGTCAAGTTAGTACAAAAGTTTTATTGTAATTAACATTTTGACATTACTTATTTGAAAAAGAAATTGAGAGAGTGTTGGTTTGTGTTGTTTTCTACATGCGAGTAGTTGATTAGGATGCAGGATTTATACTCAGCTGCTATTGTTTTTGTTTCACTATAATCCTTTTTTTAAATTTTTTTACAATGAAGGTTATTTTACAAATTGGGCCTCTAAACACATATATTTCTCGTTGCAATAGGAAGCTGTGGAAATTCTTACCAGCATGAACCACCCTGAAGGTGATTGTCCATTGTGTTTGTATCCTTTGGTAACAGAAGATAAGCACAGTGAAGCCCAGCCATTTATGAAGTTGATGTCTTGCTTTCATTGCTTCCACTGGTAAAGCCTAAATCCTTATTCTGTAATATACTAGTATGCATCAAATGGCATATGTATATTTCTCTTAAATGGTTGTTGTCTTGATTTTGCCTGTGTTGATGTAGTGAGTGCATTGTAAGATGGTTGAAATGGTTCCTGAAACAAAATGAAGCCTGCCATGGAACCTCAAGTACTTCGTCATCTATTGTCCATGAAGAAAACAATCTGGCTTCAGGCAAGACATGCTGACCAATATAGTTACTTTCCATTAAACAATTGCGTCTAGCTGTCAAAAAGTTTGTGCATGTTGTTGATTATTCAATAGTTGTTCAGGAATCAGGATTTATCAAATAGTATTTGGTCTTGCATTGGCTAGATCTTCTTAGCAGTATTTCATGTGCTACCTCTACCCATGATTTACATTGTTTAACATCTGTTGTGAAACTCCATTAGCACTCTGTTTTAAAGAATGTTAAACTAAAGTGCAAATCAGCAGCTCTAGGATTTTAATGCCCCCCTACCCCCCCCCCCCCCCAAAAAAAAAAAAAAAAAAAAAAAAAGAAAAGAAAAAAAGGGAGAAATTTGCTAGGAAGACAACAAATGAACCAAAGGCCAAAACAACTCTGCAGACCACCACTGTGTAGAGTTGTAGAATCGTCAATCTGTTGGCTAGCTACTCTGTATTAAACAGGAAATTTCTACCTTGTTGATTTATTATGCTTGCTCTGGAGGCTGGAACTTTACTTAGAAAGAATCTAAAATTGACCTTACCCCTAAACTCAACCTGGATTCATCTGAAAGTATGTGTTCACAAACAAGATTTTGGAACAAAAAAAACTGACAAAACTACTTATTAACTGGTCTGATCCATATCTAAAATTACCTGATCTGAAACCTGTCTCCTATTGACAGGTCTAATTCTGATGATGCTTGACAGTGGATTTTTCTCTATGCCACTTATGCTTTGCATTTGCATGTTAATAGCTTTGCGTGTCACCTAAGCCCTTGACCACTCGATGAGAGAATCTAAGCTATCTTGGCTGAGATTATTAGTTTTGGGGAAACTGTGGCAATTATACAACTCTTTTAGTTAAACCTAGCCCTTGAGATTTGTCCATGGCATTTATCATTGACACTAAGTTAGCAATGATAGTTGGAATAACGGAACTGATCTAGCTCACTTGAAGTGATATGTTACTGATTGAGTACTTTTGAGTCTCCAGAATTTGACATGTTGTGCAAAATGATCTGTGAATTGCAAGTTTACGCTGATGCTTTACCAACATATTTAAGCACCTAAATGATTATGGAATTGGTAGCTTTGTAAACTTGTTAAGAAACTTAGGCAGTCATAATTGCTCTGTCAATCTTAGTGGTGTTCCTCTGCTTGTTTGTTTTTCACTGATTCCTTTAACTAATTTTTCAACAGATTTATGCAAAATGATGGGAGATAGTACAGGAAACTGTCCTGTCTGTCGTAAAGTCTTCCTTGCCAAGGACATTGAACATGTGCTCAACTTGGTTGGTTCTCATGATGCAGAATTGGTATGTAATAAGAGATTTCCTATTCCCAGCTTTTGTTATTTTGATTAACAGATTTCATGGGAAGACAGTCACTCTAGCAGTGCTGTTTTTTATCAGCTATGTAACTTTAGCTTATAAGATAAAATTTATCAAATTGATCAATGTTTTCCTCTTGACAATTCAGTGATGCTAGCACTAGGACTAGGCTCACTTCTACAGATCATGACACCTATACACGGTTGATGGTTTGTAGATAGAGAGATCCCTGAACACGATGCTCTGTATAATCATATCCTGATACTAAAACTTTTACTTTGGGAATAATCTTCAGGATGTTTATGAGAAAGAACTCGTGGAGAAAGTCCTCCAATGTGATCTGGAGACCAGTAGAAGACAGAAGTTTGAGACAATCTTGGAGCTGCAACAACAGCATGGTGGCTTGATAGAACCCCCGAAAGACAATGTATTATTTTCGCGCCTCTCTCTTCAAGACTTGGTCAGTGAAGATGCAGAGGTGATGAATGAACAAGCCAGCGATCAACAACATAACAATCAAATTGCTAGAGAAGAGCCAGAGTCAAGTAATTCCTCAAATGGTACCCGTGAAACAAGGAAGCAACGTCCTAGAGGTCATAACGCCGTGGTGGAACCTGCATCTGGTGGTCCTCCAACTAGGTCTAGTGCTGCGCACCGCAGGTACTCTGACCCAAGAAAACATAATAACAATAATTCCAGATGGCAAGCCAAACTGTGCCCTAAGAAGGAATAGGATACTTCTGGTTTGGGAGAATTTAGTTTCCATTTTCTTACTCTGTTCCGAATCTTCCCTTGGTTGTTGGGAAAAGTCTGTAATACGGTATTGTAACTTATCTATGTGCATAAGTCTTGTGAATAGGAAAATAGGATTCGAATTATGGCCCTGTTTGGTTTGATATAAAATGTTTTCATGGAAAATGAATTTTTCATTTTTTTTCATTTTCCTTTGTTTGGTTTGTTAAGGAGTGGAAAACAATTTTTCAAGGGTGGAAAATTTCATCCTTAATGATGGAAAACATTTTCCTTCCAAAAACAAAGGAAACCACATTTTCCTCTCTCCTCCTTACCTCTTTTTTTACTTCCCTCTCATTCATCCTTACATTTCCACTCTTATTTTTTTATTTTTCTTGGACTTTTCTTGTATGCAACCAAACAAAGGAAAACTAATTATCAATTGTGTTTTTTCTTGAAAATATGTTTTCCATGAAAACTAATTTTTCATTGAAAATGTTTTACATCAAACCAAACGGGGCCTATTTGTCCCAATTCGCTATAGTTTTTTTTTGCTTTCACCCTCTAGCTTCCCTAGTATTTGTTGGGGCGAAGGTTGGAACATGTAGAGGATACATGAACGTAATATAATGGAATAACAAACTTGTGGTAAATTTGGTATGAATAATACATGAACGTTCTTCTGCAGTATCCAAAGTGTAACAGAAGCAATTGTATTATTCCCTTAGGTTTTACAAACCAACACAAAAATAAAATGCCGAAGATTGGTTGATTATCATCAAATACTTTCCTGTGCAGGGATGATGAACCAACCTTGGAGTTTCAGTTAAAGGATCGCGCCAAAAACATAGTGGCGCGAGCAACGAGCATTCGACAGTGCTAAACTATCAAACCCAAACAGGCACACAAAACTGTAATGGCATCAATCACTTCCTTCAAGAATGTATATGATGGCACAAATGGTCGAGCAATCCCATGCGTGCAAGCAGCACCCCTACATTACGAACAATTCTCTAATCTCCCTGAACCACTGGCAGTGTAGGCAATCACGCTCGCTCAGCCGCCAGGGGTAGGGGGGATATTCTTTGCTCTTAGTCATCATAAGATGTTCCGATATAGGTGTTTTAGGTACTAGTATTACTTATGGGAGTTATGGTCCTTGAGTATTAAGGACCTTATGTCAAGCACTCAAGCATCATTTGGAGCAAACTTAGTAGTATTTCTGTTATGTATTTGTTTTTCTTGTTGTTCTTCATCCGAGATAGAAAAACTATTAGCTGCTTTTTTTTTTTTTTGGTATGACAGAGAGTCAAAGAGACCATTAGCAATCGTGTACCTTAACTCTATTTGAAAAAATATATATATCATAGTAAATTTGACATTGGAGTTGATTCGACTTCCCACTACTTATTATTTATTTTTTTTTGAAACAGACTTCCCACTACTTAAAGACATTTAATTAGTTGGTTTTTTATGACTTATGCAAAAAAATTGAGTTATTGACAATTTGACATATTTCATACAAAATTTGACCAAAATTTATATTTTTGTTTAGAGTAAATCTTTAGGACATGACTTGTGCCAGTTGTGCCTTTTGCCAATAGGAGTCAACATTATGTTTCAATCATTTACAAAAACTGTTTGCTATTGGACATTAGAAGACTTATCCCTTACTTTATTTTCGCAAATTTCATAATCCTTTTGTAAAGTCTTATAATGTTATGATTTGTGAGATTACAGCTTATTGATAATATTATGTTTTAATTAATTTATAGTCTGTTTACTAATGGACATTAGAAAACTTTTCCCTTAATATATTTTTGCAATATTCATGATCCTTTTGTAAATTCTTGTAATGTTATGATTTGTGAGATTATAGCTTTATTTGAAGCTCATTCACCCTAAGTTAATGGACAAAAGAACAAAATCTTATTAACCGGTGACTTTGTTTGTAAGCAAAGCTTTTAAAATGAGGCTTTTAGAGACTAAGTAAGGATTTAAATTGAATTACATAACTAATCGTAACTCAAAGTATATAATCTAAATTAAGAACAATACAGTTTGTTACATCTATCCAATAATTGAAGAATGGCGAAAACTGGATAGTCATAGTGGTTGAAAATTAGTTACTCGTATCCCTCTTATAAATCACTATAACATTTAAAAATTCCTCAAGCGCTTATAAAGTATAATTATTGACATTGATAAATAAATATTTAAAGAATTCAAAGAAAAAGAATTGGTTACCAAGTGATGAAGATTTTTTATAAATTTTTTCCTAAAGAGGCCCACGAATAGAGTAAAGGGGGTAATACCTTGGAAAAAGTACCAAAAGCAAAATTGGTCCGGCCACATTAGCCGTCAATGTCAAGGTCAATATCAAAAGAGCATTAAACAACATCATTTTTATTTGGATTTTAAATATTTCCTACGTGTAAAACTAAAATGTAATGCTTGACAATATGGAAACCAATAGTTTGTGTGGTTAAAATTTTATTTAGGAATAATACTCAAATTTTAAAGCAGTATTACACAGTTACACTTACACCTACATGCATTTGTATTATTATTATCGGGAAATAGACAGTATCACTTTTTATGCGTTTTACGTTAGAAATTTTTTTACCCAACCTGTATGCGTATGATCATAAAACACTTTAAGACAGTTGCATACATTATCACTCTTTATCAACTATCTTTTTACACACGAATTACTCCTAAATAACTACTCGTACTTGAAATAAAACAATTACTTATTACATTAAATCTTTGTACAATTACTCCAATCAATTTAGAAGGACGGGATGAAGTTAACTTTCCATCTTTTAGTACAAAACAAAACAATATTTAGGTAAAGACGTGTCAATTAGATAAAGATTAGAGTAGTTATTGTTGTACTAGTAGTAGTATGAGCTGAATTTGAGCGTTTTTTGCACCACTCTATCTAGCATCACTCACTACTCATAAGTCCTAATCTCGGCCCTTTTCCCTTTTTGCAGCCTTATACGCAAATTATTCTAAGGAAAAGTGCATGAATCATATAGTATATGATTGCAACCAATTGGCCTATAATTGACCGTGTAAGAATTTGATGTATCGTTTAAAGTATTTATTTGCATGATCAATACTTTCTTCTTTACTATCATGATAACAAATTCTTTAGCATTTTTCACAATTTATACACCAATTGCATCATAGTGTTTTGAGATCGGGGGCCTAATTAATTCACCTAAAGTTCTAGTGACATTGGCATTGGCAATGACCATGGCCACTACCAATCAATTAAATGACTTTTGAGAGGTATCTCCTTTCGTCTTTGAAATTATCATTTATGTGTAGAATAATCCTTCGATTGCAATTAGATGAACCAGCCAAATTTTTTTCACGATTTCAACAGATCGATAGACCCCTTCGTCGAAAAAAGGTTATAAATCACAACGATGTGAAAGAGGGTATGAACAATGAACGATTTGTAACAACAATCGTAGTTTTGCTAAAAGGATGTTTTTATTTGATTCAATTGTTAATCAGATGGCATTTTTGTATATATTGAAAAAACAGTGTCATTTATTCAGTATTTTTGGTAAGCTGTCCAATTATTGTTTGCCTTTTGCTTTTACTGTTTGGTGAGAAAATTACACATGTACCCCTCAACTAGTATATGAAAAGACGCATATACCCTCCACTGGTACTTGAAAAGACAATTATACACCCAGATAAACAAAATTTTGTTTATCTGGGGAATTGACTGGGTATTGCTCATAACTTTTGGGTAAATCCAAGTTAATCTGCCACATAAACGAAGGGTCTGTTCATATTTACTTATTTTCAGTTCAGTTCAGTTCAGTTCAGCTCCAATCAGTTCAGTTCAGCTCAGCTCCAATCAGTTCAGTTCAATTCAGTTCAGTTCAGCTCCAATCAGTTCAGTTCAGTTCAACTCAATATGAACAGGCCCGAAATTTTGTTAATCAGATGGCATTTTTGTAAATATATTGAAAAAACAGTGTCATTTATTCAGTACTTTTGGTGAGCTGTCCAATTACTGTTTGCTTACTTTTACTGTTTGGTGAGGAAATTACACATGTACCCCTCAACTAGTACATGAAAAGACGCATATATCCTCCACTGATACTTGAAAGACAATTATACCCCCAGATAAACAAGGGAAATTGACTGGGTATTGCTCATAACTTTTTATTTATGAATCAATCATTATTAAAAAAAAAATTATTTTAAGTACTATATAGTCCGAAAGGTAGTCAGAAATGTAGGCATATGATTAGTAGTAGTTGTTATAAAGATTTGGTTGGTTGGTTGTCTCAAATTGAAAAGCAATAAATAGAGTTGTGGCTAAAAAAGAGTGATTAGTCGGTTAATGAAACCATGGAAATGTGTCCAATCATTTGAATTAGAGTTTATACATCGCAATTGTACGAGAGTAGTTCACACTAAATTTGAATTTGAATTTCAATTTGACTTGGATCCGATCCTAGCTTGTTTGTGACCCCTCTCACTTTGCCGTCCAATTTTTTTAGATGGAGTGTCCGCATCACCTTATTGGGTCGGTTTTGACATGGTTCCGGCTCGGTACGAGCATGAGTTATGTTGAATAGGCACGATTCATTTCGAATAGGGGTGTTAAAAAAAACTCGAACTAAAATATAAATTTTTGAAATTGAAAAATGATAATCTGCATTAATTTTGATACAAGCTTTGTTAATTGGTCATTTACGGTTTTAGGTGGTTTGATCCGTTGTTTGTATTGACTTTTTAAATTACCTCTTTAAGTATATGTTTGGTAATGTTAGATGTCGGTTACTGGTTGTGAGCATTAAAAACATTAAAAGCCAACCATCAACACACAAAAACTAATTTTTGGAAGAATAGCTACCTTTCTGGCTTTTTAGCCAACAAAAAACCAAATAACTAAGACCACTCTCACTCATGGGCAAAAAATAAAAATGCCACTCTCTCTCTACTCACTTTCTCACTCCTCTTTTTCATTTTTTTTTATGGGCATTTTATTTAAGAACTCTTCCCACACTCATGGGCTAAACAAAAAAAAAACCACACCACCATCTCTCCTATATTTTCTCTCACAAACACTCATGGGCCCACAGGTACTGTAGCAATTTATTTTTGTCATTCCTATGGGCATTTGATAATCTCCTCATGGGCATATTTTTTTTTTTTTGCTCATGAGTGGGATAACATTTTTAGCATTTTTACCATTAAATTCTCTTCATAGGCATTTTTTTGCCCATGAATGAGAGTGCTCTAAACATATACAAGTATTTTGGTTGTTTAATTTCATCACATCCATAAGCCATAGGAAAAGCCGTTCATCAGACAAGCCCAAAATTTAACATCGGTTCCATCAATTTTGTGAGTTAATGTTTGAATAATATTTCAACAATAAATTTTGATACTAGACATAGTTGGAATTATTTATTATTTTATATAATATATAACTAGTGTGTGGTACAGACGATGCCTCGGTTTACTAGTTTGTACTTGTTTGATTTGCTAATCAAATTCGACTATTTGGATCGTAAGACTTTTTTATGTAAGGGAGATGTGTACCACACATTACCTTTATCATTTTTATTACCACGCATAATAGTTAAATTCATACTTCATCTAAGTTTTTTTACTCATAAATTCACTTG